CCGCTATTCAGGAGGCACACTGGACCGGCCATGGGCTGTTGGAGAAGAAATTCGACACAATACATTATAGCGGCCACAACAAGAACCACACATTTGGCACTGTGTTTGTTGTGAGAGGTTCAATGAGACAACAGGATATTGGATACAACACTATTAATGATCACGTATGTTCCATCCGCATCAAGGGGACCTTCTACAATTACATGCTCTTAAGCTGTCATGCACCCACAGAATCCTCAAGCGATGATGAGAAAGATGCCTTTTATGATGCCCTGAAACATGTATGCAAGCTCCAGATCCGACATCAAAATCCTACTGGAGGATTTCAATGAAAAGATTGGAAGAGAAGATGTATATAAGACCACGATTGGCTCTTTCAGTTTGCATGAGGGAAGCAATGAAAACGGCAAGAGGGTCATTGATTTCGCGTTACCCATAAAGAGATTGACCACATCTTAATTAGTGCACGTCACAAATCTAATCTCCTTAGTAGTAGGACTTACAGGGGAGCAAATGTTAGTTTGACCATTACCTTGTAATATCAAGAATTAGTCAGGATTGCCACTGTCAGGAGCCACAGGACTGAAAAGTCCAAAAGGTGGAACATTGGAAGACTGAAGGACCCAGAAAGCTGCCAAGCATTTCACCAGAAAATGGAAGAATTGGTGAGAGATGGGCTCAGAGTAGCTGTTGTCAAAAGTGGACAGGATATCTGGGACCAACTGGAAAAGGCCTTGGACGGCACAGCAGAAGAAATCCTTGGGAAGGTGGTTCTTGAGGGAATAGGTGAATGGTTCAAAGAGGAGTGTAAGTTGGTCAATGATGCGAAGAATGAAGCATACAGGAACATGTTAAATAAGTGCTTCACCAGGAGAGCTACGAAGGAAAAAGAAGGCTGGAGAAGAAACTCCTCAGGAATAAGAAGAGAGCATGGGAGAGAAAGGAGCTGGAGGATATAGAGGCCCATAGGAGTGTAAAAGAAAGTAGGAAATTCTTCCAGAAGGTCAATAGTAGACATGCCACTTTTAAGCCTAGAATTCAAGCATGTAAGAAAGAAGATGGGACACTGCTTACCAATAAGCCGGATATACTGGATCGGTGCGCTAGGCACTGCCGATTGTTATTAAATGAGGAAGCAGTTATAGAGGATATAGAGGCATGCGACATTGCTGGAGAGGATTGACAATCTTGGAGATATCGAGCCCCTGGACTTTGAGGAAGTAATGGATGCAATTATTCGCATGAAAAACAATAAGGCGCCAGGACCGGATGGATTGCCAGCTGAGCTCTTTAAGTGTGGGAACGATGAGTTGCATAGAGCACTGTCACGACAGTGGAATAATGCTATAATATGTTCTCTCCATAAGAAAAATGACCAACTTGATTGCACGAACTACTGCAGCATAGCCCTGTTGTCTTGTACTTACAAGATCCTAGCGAATATCCTTTTCAGCAGACTTACCTAATTTGTGGGACGGGAAATCGAGAAATATAAAGCTAGCTTTCGGAAAGGCAGATCCACTGTTGATCAAGTGTTCACCCTCAGGACAATTTTGGAACGGGGTCATGAATATAAAATCCCTACACACCACATGTTTTTTGACTTAAAGAGTGCATATGACAGCATCAAAAGACCTAAGCAGTATGAGGCATTAAGAGAAATGGCCATCCCAAGCAAATTGATACGTCTCGTTGACAAGTTGACAATGAAAGATATCAGGAACGGATCCAGTCTGACTGCTCTGATGCATTTCCCTCCAACAAAGGATTAAGACAGGGGGATGGATTGGCCTGTCTCCTCTTCAATCTTGCACTGGAGAAAGCTGTACAGGATTCAGGAATCCAGAGAGACCACACGATATTCACCAGTACTGTACAGATATTGGGATATGCAGGCAACCTGGATATCGTGGCCACGACCCGATTGGCATTGGTAGAATCCTTTAGGAAACTTATGGACGCTGCTTCATCCATGGGGTTGGCCATAAACGAGAATAAAACAAAATATATGCACACAGGGACTGGTGGCGACGAGGCACTGATTGTGGGCCCTTACACATCCCAAAGGATGAACAAGTTTACGTATTTGGGATCCCTAGTGACACCAATAAACGATGTCTCTGCTGAGATAAGGAAAAGGCTGCTGGTGGCAAAGAGGGCATATTTTGCTTAACTGAAAACTCTCCGCAGCAGATCCATCACCAGGGGCACTAAACTAGTCATATACAAGACTTTTATATGCCCTGTTCTTACCTATACTTCCAAATCCTGGACCATCTCAAGTGATGAAAATAGTCTTTTGATTTTTGAAAGAAAAATCTTAAAGTGAATAGTTGGCCCAGTGAGAGATGGAGATGGATGGAGGATTAGGAGGAACAGGGAGCATTATGACCTTTACGGAGATATGGACCTTGTAAAGTTTATAAAACTGTGGAGGCTCAGTTGGCTGGCCATGTCGCAAGGATGGAAGTGGAAGAAATTTCTAGAAAAGCAGTGGACACTGCCCTTCAAGGTACACAACGACCTGGTAGGCCAAGGCATTGATGGGTTGATGGAATAGCAACGGAGGCACAGAGCCTGCTACGGATCAGAAGTTGAAAAGAGGCCGCCGCACAAAATTGGGCCGAATGGCATCGGCTCATTGAGGAGGCCAAAACCCACCCAGGGTTGTAGCGCCACGTAGATAGATAGATACCTATACTTTTTATTATACTTGTGTCACTACAAATATATAATTTCACTTTCATATGACTTTTCGTTTTTGAGCTAGACTATTCGCATACACACAGACAGAACTTTTGCCAAGATTTGGTTATTTGGACTCAGAGAAGCAAGAAACATGTATTTATTTAGGAACTTTCCCAATGTGAACTGACTTATACATTACATTAAGTATTCTTAAGCTTGCACAGAAATTATTGAATATTGAAATAAATGTGATAAATAAATGGGCCCCTCCCCCATACTTTTTTTGATTTTTAAACACAATAACTACAAATAACAATAATTACAATGCCAGGAATCTAAATATAATAGGCGATTAAATTGGAAAAAACAAGTGAGAAGTTATAACAGTAAAGACTAACTTAATAATGTGATGAAATAAATAATAAGACCAACATTAAAGAAAAAAACAACAAACCAAGCCAAAACTTCCATATATTTTAATTGATTTGTGTATAAATAAGAATTTGTTTGATACCAACGCTGGAAAGGTGGACATTTGGATATCAAAGAATTACAAAAGCAAAGGAAACATATTGTTACTAAATTATCTTATTAATTTAATTTTATTAATATAATTTATCAAAATAAAACAATGAAACATAACCTAACCTAATATAAATATTTTGATATCGAATAATACATGTGAATAAAATGCAATCAAACCTAACATAAACATAAATGTTATCGAAAGGTGGTATTATTGGACACACTTAGCTATTAGAGACTCCATTTGGTGTGATTGAAGTGATCTTGGCCCACACATCATTAAGGCATTGCATTTGCGAACCAGTACTGGGACATGTTTTATTTAATAAATCTCAATCTATTATGTTCTAAATGATCCAATATCCACATTTCAAATACTAATCTAGTCCTGTCTCATTTGAAAAGCAAGAGTCTTTTATTACTCGATCTAATAAGTTCTTAAAATCAGTACAGGCACTAAGTTCATCGATGGCATCAGATCCCTCTCTTAACTGAGCAATAAAATGTCATTAATGGGCTCAGTGCTGAGTTTAGAATCTTGCCCTATATACTATTAAGTGAATATCACAACAAAATTCTGTACATGATTATTAAGGAATTTATAATACTTGAACTTTTATTTCTGACAAACCATAAACATGTCATAAACCTAGTGCTTAGCTTTTGTCTGAGTGTATGAAATAAGTACATTGTTTCCTAAAAATTATATGTCTACATTGTATCAATAGATGAAGGGAAAAGATAATAGGTCATAATAGATGGAGGAACATTTAGAATAAAATATAAAGGCAGGCATGAAAACCGATGTTATTAATTTACCATCAACAATTCAAATGACAGAGTTTGCATCATATCAGACCATAATTGTCTGCAATATATGACTCTTTAAAACTGTAAGAATGATCTATTAAACCAATAAACACCGCCTCTACATTGTTTAAAATACAAAACCAAAATAATATAAACTAATATATCGTAATTAAAACAGATACTTAATCATTTTTGGATGAAGTTATCAATTTTAAGTTCATACTTTCAAGAAAACTCAAATAGAAACAAACATCTCTTTAACGTAGAAACAAACATGTCATTAAAATATTACCTTGATGGCTTTAAAGTTATTTATATTAGCTGGAGTTTCTGTAAAAACAAGTACTATAGTGAACTTCTTATTCACAAATGGTACTGTGATACTAACATGTTATTGTGGATACTAGAAATGTTCAATGAACATAGATGTTATATTCCGTATATTAATATCATTTGACAGGGCAATGTAGGGTAATTGAACTTCATAAATTTCCAATTCAATGGCTAAACAGTAGGTGATAATCAAGAAACACATATATTAATACTGATAAGAAAAAAAAAAACATTTTTAACGTAGAAACAAACATGTCATTAAAATATTACCTTGATGGCTTTAAAGTTATTTATATAAGCTGGAGTTTCTGTAAAAACAAGTACTATAGTGAACTTCTTATTCACAAATGGTACTGTGATACTAACATGTTATTGTGGATACTAGAAATGTTCAATGAACATAGATGTTATATTCCGTATATTAATATCATTTGACAGGGCAATGTAGGGTAATTGAACTTCATAAATTTCCAATTCAATGGCTAAACAGTAGGTGATAATCAAGAAACACATATATTAATACTGATAAGAAAAAAAAAAAACATTTTTCATTATTAGCAGAATAACCATATATTTTATTGAAGATTGGCTATTTCTTTAGTATGATATGATTAACTCTATTAGAGAGTAAATAGATATTTTACCTGAGAATGATTGGGTATGGAACCTAAAGGGATAGAAATATTTCCCCCATGGTGAGCAGTAGCCTCTGTCGCTTCAACCTCTTGCTTTCCTTGCAAAGACTTTTTCTTTGAAAGAATTGTCATGTCTAAACAATAAAGATCAATTTCTTCGACTAGAATTTGTAATAAAAAACAACTACGAAAACCTTCATAAAACGTCACTACTAAGTCAACTACAGTGTTGCCTAACGCATCCTACTGATCAATGACAATACTACTTGATTTAGAAAAGTGTCAGCTGCACTACAAAAAAAATATATTTATGAAAGAAATATAATCTCTTAGAAATTAAACTTACAAAAAAAAAAGTTCTTTAAAAGTACATGATTTTTTTCATTAAAGTGTAATTAATCACGTTAAAAAAATATTCATGCCATTGGAATTATATTACTTCTAAAATGATTACATCAATATTTATTCTAAAGTAGTTTCCTTAATATATGTTTATTTCTTTATTAATTATTAAAGTAGATAATATTAAGATGTATTAATGCAGCTAAAAGGATTTTGAAGCAGCAACAACGCAACCTCAGAAATGTAAAGGGGGTGGACCATGCTTACAGTAATGTAACGATGCAGAGATGGTTGACCGTGATATAATATGAGAAGGAGTTGGCAGGGGGGTGCAATCAAATAAACAGTATTTTTTTTTTATTTAGTATTTATTTGACTGCACCCGACCAACTCCTTCTCGCACAGTTATATGAATTAAAATTATGACAATATTGTATAAACTGCTTCCAATAGGCATACAGTCTCTCGGAAATAAATGTCTTTTAAAAGCTAAGCTATATCAAACTGACAAGCTGTTTCTATATGGTAATTAGCCTTCAAAATGAATATTTATACCATGATTATTCTTATATCAACCTCAAAACATTAAGAAATCCTGATAGCGAATAATTACTGCAGTTGTTGAACCTCCCAGTTTCTTCAAATTCAATTTAATATATTTTTTCTTAAGACATGGATGTATTTTTCCATTTTTGGGAAGGAGGACTTCAGCCCAAAAGCTTCCTCCCTATAGATCCGCCCCTGTCCCAGCTCATGTATTGGTAGGTGTCCGAACAACATGATCTTTATAACACGCCGGCACAGTAATATAAAGATATAGTTATCAGAGCTCATGGAAATGAACAACTTTAGGTGTTTCCTCGAAGTCTGTATCTGGATGCGGAAGGCTCTGCAAGATTTGTTGACGTTTTAGTGTTTATTGTTTAGTGTATAGTGGATACCGCGATCAGGTTTGGGACGAACGGTCAGGACTGGAGCTTCAAGATGCAAGCAGAGAGGGAGGGGATTTGTAATAAATGCTTACGATACTTAATCGAAAAATATAGGGATGAATTCGGAGAGAGAAACTTTTCGGTTAAAGAGCTGTGGTTCGAAAATGGGGGAACCGTCCCTCATTCAACAGGTGATTTCTTGCAGAAGATCGGGCATGGAAGGTAGCAGGTTGAGATAATGGGGGAGACTATTAATTTGGTCTCATTGGGGATCCATCAGCACATATACTACACTTTGCCTTCGCTTGTTTATTCATACACGCTGGTCTTTTGACTTATTTGCTTTGGTCAAATGGTCCCAACTATCTCTTTCGTTCTTGTTTTAAATAATGTTTCTTGGACCGATGAGTATGCTGTGTGATTTGTTAGTACTGGATCCAAGATCATTCATGGGTTGTATTGGTACAGGTCTATTTTTTCATAATAAGAACCAGAAGGTGTACGAAAAAAAAAAACATGTCAAGTATAAAACACTGTTCCGTTATTTTAATGATGAGCTGAGACTCGTTGAAAAACGGTTAAGAGCCTAGAAAAACGAAACGAATAAGAAATCTACTAGTGGCGAACATAAGAACTGAATAAAAAAAAAAATGTTGTTATCTGGTTGAAAGACCAGTTGTTTCGTTTCTATTGAGACTATCGTTGGAAAACGCTAAGAACAAACAACTACTGGTCTAGAGGCAAACGGAAGAAATGAATACAAACAACTCTTTTTATCTGTTTGAAATAATAGTTCACTCCTTTGAAATCAAGAACTTTTGTTTTTAAAAGTTTGAAGTTTTCTCTCCCAACCGTACTCCTTAATTACAATTGTATCATGTACTCCTTAATACAGAAACCAAGGGGTTAGAGTGATTACACTTCATTGATTACACAGTCATTGTGACTAAAATATCCTTCTTTAGCTCCAAGAAGTTCGTTGGAAAACCTTCCTAAATTATAACCTTCATATAAAGGAGATTGTTTTGTTTCCGAATAGGTTATGAACAGTAGAGAGATGTTTTGTATTATCTTGAAACCAGGATTAAATTGTTTGTGACCAGGTTAAAATGATGTTTTACTATATAGCATAGGATCAGTATTAATTCTTTTCTAGAACTTAACCTGTCTTACTAAGGTTTTCCTGACATTATATGGTATTTTAAGATATTTCTTAAAAAATAAAGTATGATTTTTTTTTCTTGTGATGTAAATATCTGTTTTACAACAGGTCATGGTATTATATAGTGAATATAAAAATTGTTGATCAAATACATAATAATTGACTCTGATGTAAATTGTTGGTAAATATCATTCCTTTTCTCGCCTAATAAAATCCTATAGCAGATGTTAATTATTATTTTTATGATTAAATAATTAGTTTTATATCTTTATTAATATGTACATACACGTTTGAACTGTCTGTATTTTTTGTTATACCAGCATTATTAATATTTATATTTTGTTTCATATTCAACTGTTTTTATCGTAAATTATTTTATCATTTAATATCATTTATGTGTATTTTCATTCTCTTTTGGCTGCATATTTCTTTGCAATTTTAATATTCTTTACAATTTAATTTCATATATTTTATTGTAATCGCTCTTAGCTCTGATTTTTAGTTTTTAGATTGTATTATACAATGATGATTTTTGTTTGTTTTTTAAGTGAGGAATGGGGTGGGCTTAGTCTTTGAGAAATTTGGTACTAGTTCCGAATAGCTCTGCAAAGATGGGTTCAAGGTCACTTGGAGAACACTCGATGGAATACAGCAGTCAAATTTGTCAATACTTGCCGAAAGTAGTTGGCTGTTTGATTGACTTATAATTCATGTTCATGCAATGTTAGATGTAACAACAAATTTGTTCCCAATAAGAACTTAAACCAAAGTGACTGAATAAATATATTGATATATATTGATGAAAATTATAGGAATTTGAATAATTATTATTATATAGTTTTTAATATTTAAGATAATGTATCCTATAGAATCTCTATCTATCTCGTTGGCACTACAAGCCGGGCGTGGGTCTTGGCCTCCTCTAGGAGCTTCTGCCATCCATTGCCACTGCCTTCCAGTTCGGTGCTTCTAATAGTATCCTTGAGTCAGCCGCCATGCCATCTATCCATCTTAGCCTGGGTCTGCCTCTCCTCCTGGTGCGGTCGATTCTATCCTCAAGGACTCTTCGTCGGCCCAACTAACCTTCCAAGTTTTATGAAATCTACGACATTTAAGTCATTATACAGATTGTATAAATAACGGTTTCTTCTTCTCCAAACTTCTTCTTTCAGAGGGAGTGATGGGCATATTTATATTTATGGTACTAATGAATACAAATTTGAATATATTTATATTCATAAAAAGAAATATATTTATATTCATGAAAAGAAATATGAATACAGAAAATACGTATTCACGGCTGTAAATATAAATATGGCTGTATTAATGAATACTCTTATTTATTTAAAAGAAATGTATTTATTAAATTATTGATTTAAAAAAAATTCATTTACTATATATATCATTTTATTTTTATATATAGTATTATATTCTTCCTTTTACAATATGTTATGTTAATAATGTGCAATGTATTATGTTATGTTAATTATCTCTTGTAATGTTTGTACGTAATAGAAATTCCCGAGCCTTTGTATTTATTTATACTAGTAAAAGTGAATACGGCAGTATTCGCATTTATTATAATGAGTACGCTTAAATTTACAGAAGTGAATGCAAATATTTTCACATAATCTTATTAATGAATACTCTTATTTAATTAAAAATATATATTTTTTAAATTATTTATTTTTTAAAAATAATTACTCTATATACCATTTTATTGTTATATATACTTTGGGCATCGCCTCCCTCCCTCCCCTCAATAAAAATTCTGAGGAGCTGGGAATATTGGAATTTCTTAAAGAACCGGTACTCTTGTGAAAAAACTTTTTAAAAAATTCCTATCATCCAGATTAAAAGAGCCTGTTCAACAAACAGACTCAGTTTCGCTATCAACTTCATACATTGTTCTATATGTAAAACTTCACACATTACACATTGAACGGCAGGTCCGGAAAGGTCACTATTCAAATATGACAGCTCTTGCCCCTTTCCTTGCTTCAACTTAAGTCTGTCGTGTACATGTATTCCCTGTTGGAATTTCCAGGATATCATTCCGAGTGTTTTACCTACCCTGGCCATCCATTAAACTTATCTTTATTGCCATTAGCAGTCCATAAGTAAACAGTGTACCGAAAAGCCTGTATGTCTAGGATCGTAGACGTAGGCTTTCCATTCTGGTACGTGAGAGGGTCGGGCGATGGACCCAACAAAAAAAAAATGCTTGAGAATTTATATTATGTACAAACATTTCGAGTCATACTTAACATAATATATTGTAAAACGAAGAATATAATACTATAAATACAAATAAAATGGGATATGTAGTAAATATATATTTTTTTATAAATAATTTAATAAATATATTTTTTTTAATAAGTAAGATTGTGTAAAAATATCTTCATTCGCTTCTGTAAATTTAAGCGTATTCGTTTTAATAAACGTAAATACTGCTTTATTCACTTTTACAAGTGTAAATACAAAGGCTCGGGAATTTATATTACCTACAAACATTACAAATGGTAATTAACACAACATATTGTAAACGGAAGAATATAATACTATATATAAAAATAAAATGATATATATAGTAAATATATTTTTTTAAGAATAAATAAGAGCATTCATTGATAAAGTTGTGTGGAAATATTTCCATTCACCTCTGTGAATTTAAGGCTATTCATTTTAGTAAATGTGAATACTGCCATATTCACTTTTACAGCTGTACAGTCGTGTTTACACTTTTACAATCGTGAATATGCTCATATTTATGTTTACAACTGTGTATTTGTGATAATTAACTTAACATAATACATTGTAACATAGTTAACATAACATATTATAAAAGGAAGAATATAATACTATTTATAAAAATAAAATGATATATATAGCAAATATTTTTTTTTTAAATAAATAATTTAATAAATACAATTTTTTTAAATAAATAAGAGTGTCCATTAATAAGATTGTGTGAAAATATTTCCATTCATTTTTGTAAATTTAAGCGCATTCATTTTAGTAAACGTGAATACTACCATATTCACTCTTACAGGTGTAAATACAGCCGTATTCACTTTTACAATCGTGAATACGGCCGTATTTATATTTACAGCCGTGAATACGTATCTACTGTATTCATATTTCTTTTTATGAATATAAATATATTCATATTTGTATTCATTAGTACCAAAAATATAAATGGTATTCGTATTTATATTTTTGAATATAAATATGCCCGTCTCTGTTCAGAGGGCCATCCATATATTTGCCACAAAATTTTCTGTTTGAATATAAGGAGGCTATTCTCATTACCCCTTGCGAGGCATAGGGCCAACACCAGCCTAATCAAAGTTTTATATAGTCTTGCCTTAGTTTGCCTTGCGAGTAATTGGCTTCTGATCTGCAATTATATCAATATTGTCAGTAAAACCCAAGATCTGTACACTTCTGTTGACAATAGTTCCTCTAGTCTGTACTCCCGAATCCCTTACTGCCTTTTCAAGCCCTGTATTCATAAGTTTTCTATATTTGTATGTTCATCTACGTTTTCTTTTCTCATTTTCTTACTTATTCCCTATTTTTGTCTAATTTGATATTAATCAACTTTATTTTATTTTATGATTTTTTTTATTTAAGCCAACATTACACCAATGTTTTCACTTCAAAATCCTACTACAACGTTTAGGCTCGTCGAGTCATTTTCAAGTCTATAAACAATTTTTCAATTTACAATCATATCCAACATTATTTTGTTAAATTTGCCATGCATAATTATTTGTATAAGCATTGATACAAATTGTTTCTTTATATTTTATGTGGACCTATTTTAAGCAATACTAGCTATTCATTTTAAATGTTTATTTTTTCAATTGTACTCGCGTAATAGGTATTAAAATCATACGTCCATATGATTATTTACAGAATTTTTCAAGTTTTTTAGTAATATATATTGCTTCCTTTATTCTACGTTCATTAGTATTACTTTCAATATGAAAGATTTTAGCATTTTTGAAATCAAATTGTCTAGTTTGCATAGTACGCTGAGAAAGTCCAGTGGCTAATTTAGTTTTTGTGATTTTTTAATTACAGTTTTCTTTATGTTGTTTAAACCTTTTTTCAAACCATTGTGGTGTCTGCCCAAAATATGATTTATTGTTACAATTTTTACAGTTTATTTTAGAAGTAATATTTGTTAATTTATTGGCAGGTACTTTATCTTTAGTTTAGTTATAAATTTTATCTATTTTATTAATTGGTTTGCTTGCAAATTTAATTTCACTTATATCATATTGCTTAATGTCTGTTCTATTTTATTAGTTAAATTTCTAATATCTGTCATCACCACATATGCTGATGACACATGTATCTTATCAGTCAATAACGACCCATCTATTGCATCCCAAACCCTTCAATCCCACATCACAAACCTTGAAGAATGGTGTCAGAACTGGAGAATTAAAATAAATTCCAATAAATCCCATCAAATTACCTTCACCCTTCGTCGTAAACCAATGACTTCCTGTCCTTCAGTATCCTTTAACAACACCTCACTTATTCCTGTTGAACAAATCCGTTACCTAGGACTCCATCTGGACAAACGTCTAACTTGGAATCCTCATAGCAGACTGAAACGACAAGAAACCGCTCGACGTTTCCGACTACTTCAACACTTACTAGACAAACGCTCTAACCTTCCAATCAATTATAAAAGACTGATTTACATGACTATAATAAGGCCTATTTGGACCTACGGAATTGAGCTCTGGGGCTCCACTAAGCCATCGAACTCCTCTCGTATCCAATCCTTACAATCCAAAATCCTCAACGCTCCTTACTTTGTTACAAATAAAATTATCCATAATGACCTTAATGTCCCTTATGTATCAGATTTGGCCCAATCCAGATATCTGTCCTTCCATAATAAACTTCATAACCATCCCA